AGCAGAATCAGCCAAAACAGCCACTCCAGCCAGAATATCATAAATTTCAGCAGAATCAGCCAAAACAGCCGATTTTGGTGCTACCAAACGGGCTCTAAAAAATAAAAAGACTAGTCATTAAAATATATAAGTAATCAGTAAAAAAATATAAGTAAATATATGTAAATTTACAAATAAATTGAAAAATGCTGAAATTAATATAAAAACAAATCGGATTTTTCTAAGCACTTACATCTTTTGAAACTTATTTAATTGAACTAGATTATGATTTTTCTCAATTTCAATCCAAAAGAGTTCGAACATTTATTATAACTTTATTATCTTCGGAATATCTTACTCAAAACATTTGCAAATTTTAAATTATTATAATCCTTACAACTTTTTACTTTATGTATTTGATTTTTAATTTTTTTTCCTTACAACGTACTCCGTATATTTTTTTACTGTTTTTTTTGTTTGTACAAAGTATAATTTTTCATTTTTTCCCCAAATTTTTATCACTTCTCATTATATCAAATTATACGGAGAAATAAATAAGTAGAGTAGTTATTTAAATGGATCGTTCTTATATTTCCTATTGGAGTTTATGAGATGATATTTTTTTTGGAAGAGGAGTTTATGAGATGATTTGAAATTGTAAAATTATTTGTATACTTCGTATACATTTTCCCTTGAGAGAAAAGAAACCAAACTTTCCTATTAATATAAAAAACACTAGTACAAGCCCTGGATTTTAATGAAAAGTAAGCTGTGTCGTTTTGTTAATAAATTAGTGACAAGCGGAGGTCAGTCTGACGTTATAATTAAGTGATGTAAATTATCAAAGATTATCGTATTTTATAGCTTTAGGAGTATGGTGTCTCTCGCTTCTCTCTAGGGCTTCGGCCGCTTGGAGTTTTTTTCCGTCTTCGATTTTAATCGAAGGACGACCGCTTTTTCCGTCTTCGATTTTAATCGAATGACGGCCGCTATTTCCGTCTTCGATTTTAATCGAAGGACGGCTGTTGTTGTTTGTGCTTCATACTCGAAGGGCGGATTTGCTGTCATGGCTCGAGGAGATCGGCGTTGTGATCAAGGTTCAAGGATGATGTATTGCTGTCGTCGTTGGAGAAGATCGGCGCCGCCTATCCGTTTACTCTGATTGCATGAAGCAGGGATGAGTTTGGTTATGCAGGGACGGAGGATTGATGCATGGCCTTTGGCAGACAAAGGTCACGTAGTATCAATTAGCATGGTACCGGTGGTAAGACCTCCTCCTGAACCACCACCATGAGATGTACGAGGTGCTAGAGTTCGTGAGCGCTTTTCTTATAGTTTTTATCTGTTTGTTATTTGTTTTCCTGTGTCCACTTTTGTTGTTGGTTTTGATAGTTTGTTTGATTTTTTTGCCTCTCTTTATGTCATTGGGTATGGTTGGATCTATGGGAATAGGTTTGGCTGTGTCAAGCCCACTACATGGTTAGCGATTCGTGTTGCTCTTTCAGGGGTGACCGTCTCAAAGTCTCATCATAGGGTTACAGTCGTAGTTGTTGAAGTTTCAGTTGGTATCAGTTTTATTTTCCTTTTGCTTGATGTAATGATCCTGAATCTTTTGATATGAATAGAGGCCCGTTTGATGATAAAAAAAAAAATTATCAAAGATTATCAATGTTTTCTTTTTGACTGTTTTCGGTCCCAGACCAGACTTTCGTATTTATAAAATACACAGAGACCAGACGTTTACCAGACTAGACCAGACCAGTTCAAATCAGACCAGACTAGACCAACAAATTCCAATCCAAAAGAAAACATATGGTATCATAATCTTTGTAATTGTCTCTTCCAATCACAGTAGTAGATGCAAACCTAATTAGGTATTAGATTACCGATCTAAGAAGCGAGTTTAGGACTAGTGGTATGCCGATATTCTTTTACGGAGTATTAATTTGTGGACCACGTACTTCGTTTCCCGTGACTTGCAGTACGGAGTATGAGCATACCCACTAATTTGATTGATGGTTGGATTTGATTAAGCTTTTGACCATGTTCGGTCAATATGTCGGTTATGAAAAGAGAAAATCATTTTTTTGAAAGGAAAAACAAAATCAATTAAAAACATAAAAATGTGGTTTATTTAGGAGAATTATATTTATATACAAAATTAGTACACAAATTATTCCACCAGGAACCGCCACAAATGGCTCGGCTGGACAGAGCCTCCTATATAAAAGCTTATTTGACCTTTTTATGTAAGTTCTAGGGTATATGTGACCCCTTTCACTTTTCTTTATTATAATTATTTTTCAAGTAAAATTTAATTTTTCGAACCACTTTATTAATAATTGTGTAAAAAAAAGCCACATAAAATGAGACGAAGGTAATACTCCACCATTTTGTCTAAATGGTTAAGGGTATATATGTTTAAGGATATACTCCGTATATGTCAAATGGTATATGTTCTCTGCTTTATAGTTTAAGGATATACTCTATATATGTTACGAATTTAAATATTCGGTATTTAATTGCTTCAAAATGAAGTTGGAGGAGGGTATACTTCCTCAAACACGAAATTTCTTTCCTTTTTATTTGAAAAGCAAAATTTCTTTCCTTATTTTTTGGAATCTGCTAAAAAATTGTTCTGGTTCCGTCATTGGCCATATCTAAAGCATGATAATGTTAAGTTTGGCACAAATAACTTTATTTATATAATAAAAACACGGTAATCATATTTTAGAATTTCAAAACCTTTTTATTCCCATTTAGAAAGTTTTCCCTGTCTCTTATAGGGATTTGTGTTTGCGGTTATAGATTATCTTAAAAGGGGTTTTTACAATGCTTTCTAAAATAAATTATGTACTAGTACCTTTAACATTTGTAGCCAATCAGATTCTATTGTGAAGCCATGCTAACATCCTAGTCATTAGTATACTAAACTTTATATTTGCACAATATTCTCTAATATATAACTCAAGAGGAAACTTCATGTTCAGCCGGCCTGAGGGGAACCGCCGTCCGGCCGAGGGCATTTCGGGCACTTCATGATCGAATTTTTTGATCAATTTTTGTAGCATGTTCTGGATCAAATCTAGTTTATCCATACCAAATTTCAGCTTAAAATTCGATCGGGAAGGTATTCAAATCACTTTGTGAAGTTCACTGCGTTTTTATATGTATATTTTGACGCAGTGAGCTTCAAAAAATGATTTGAATGTCTTCCCGATCGAATTTTGAGCTGAAATTTGCTATGGATAAACTAGATTTGATGAAGAACATGTTCAAAAAATTTCATCGAAAAATTCGATCGGGAAGTACCCGAAATCCCTCGGCCGGATGGCGGTTCCCGTCAGGTCGGCTGGATAAGAACGGGACTCTATAACTGAAATATTCAATGTTGGTTAACTACCCTTGAGTCTTGACTCTGTCAGAAGAAGCCGCAACCTCTTTTCCTCTCTGAAAAAAACTGTTAAATGACATCAACTTTTTTGTCGCCATTTTTTTTTCTATACTCCGTATATAAAAGTAAACTCTGTTTTGAAACAAGAACCGTCCGTGAGTACCTGAACTTGGATTAGTTTTTATTTGCTCCCATTGAAACATTAGTAATCTAGCTTAGATCTGCCGTCTGCGTAGTATAAATGCCTAACTTGAGTCTTATCTCAAACTAAAGTGCAATAATTGTATTGGGATAGAATATAAGACTAATCCAACATCGGCACCTCCCAGGCATTACCCGCCATTAAAATAATACCAATTATGTATCTAGTGAGACAAGTTTCATCAATATAACATGACATCATTTCTCATGTCCATTTCGATCCAACACTCAAACAACTGAAAGTGCTTTTGACACTCAATAATTGTTCCCGTCTATCGTTGATTATATATGTAATTCGAATGTGCTTTCCTTCTAACGTTGCACTAATTTTTGCAATACCCACCTACTAATATGGATGGACCCGGGCCGGTTCGGGCCTAGGCCCGGCCGGGCCTCGGGTCTGTTTTGTTCGGCCCGAGCCCGAACCGGTGGCCACCGGTTCCGGGTCCGGTTCCGGGCCGGGCCGGGCCGGTCGGGCCACCTGGTTTAATTTTTTTTTTTTTTCCTTTCTTCCCCCACCCCCCCCCACCCCCCACCCCCCAAACCCCCCCAAACCGGCCTAAACAGATAGCCCAAGCCCAACAGCCCAAAACAAATGAAAAAAATTAAAAAAAAAATAGATTTGGCCCGGACCCGGGCCCGAACCGGCCGGGCCGGGCCGTCAAAACCATGAACCGAGCCCGGAACCGCCCCACCCCCGGGCCTCCGGCCCGAACCGGACCCGGACCCGGATAACCGGGCCGGGCCGGGCCCGCACAGTAGCGGGTCGGGCCGGTCCCGGACCGGGCGGCCCGGACCGAGGCCATGCCTACCTACTAATGTGCTTTAAGAAAAGAAAAGAAAACCAAGCATACATACCATCACATCAATTCACTTTTACCAAATTAACTATATTGAATAGACTTCCCTAAAAGGAACTTTTAAGTTTTAACAATTATAACCCATAGAGATTATGTGGCTAACATTGCATCTTAAAGAAGAATTACATTTGAATGTGCTTTCCTTCTAACGTTGCGCTAATGTATGCATCATTCAAACAATACCAATTTATTAAAGAAACCCGCACAGATAACTCAGTTAGTCGAGTGATGAGAAAGTTGGAAGAATGATTAAGAATCGAAACCCGCTACGACCGTCACATTTAGACAACATGTGTGTTGGGTTGAACATCTGATACATACGAGTACAACGTCTATCACTATTAGACTAACTGAATGTCTGAATCACCACGATTCACAACCTCCCATATCCTTGTCAGGTCGGGACGTTGGGTCCTTGGGACTGGGCTCCTTTTGGAGGAAAAAGAAAAGAAACCCGAACATACATACCATCACATCAATTCACTTTTACCAAATTAACCATATTGAATAGACCTTCTTAAAAGGAACTTTTAAGTTTTAACAAATATGCCCTATACAGGTTATGTGGCTAACATTACATCTTTAAAAAGAATTACATTTGAAACATTACTCTTCTTTTTGAATAGACATTATTGGATTAGAACATGCGTTAAAAAATACTACCTCAACACAAAAGTTAAGGAAATAATAGAGTTCACTATGCCCTTTCTATAAACAACAAATTCTCTCACGCGGAGTAATCAGCATGAAATGCACCAGCGTGAGGAAAACATAACATCAAACTTTTTACATATTAACCCGGCCACAAACAGTCAGGAGTAAGGCTAGGTTAATTAAAGGTAATTGACCCCAAAATAAACTTTAAAAGGAAAAAAAAAAGAAACCGATAAAGCTAAGCTAATGTAGTTGGGTGAATCAAGACGTTCAAAAAAGACAAAGCCAAACACAGCAGCGCAACCAGAGCTTCATCTTAAACCGTCTTCTCTCCCCCAACACAAAGTCTTCTCAAGTAAAATTCGTTCGTTGTCTACCTGATCATTGATGTCAGCGAACGGAAAAACGTCTCATCACAAGGAATGGTAATTCCCATTTCGTGATGGAAACCGAACTCCTCCTCGGCGCATTGGAGGAGGAGTTGAAACTGGGGATGAGACAGGAATGAGATGGGTACTATGTATCTGCTCCTGTTTTCACCAATGTATACCGCAAAATGGCCTTTTGGGACGTCCACAGGAAGCCCCTCTTCATCATACCCATGTCTCTGCCTGAACTGAGTGGAACACCTTTTAATCATCTGCTTCAGAACTGCAGCTTGTGGTATCTTTCTTAATTTCTTCATCCTCAATTATTGCTTTTTTAATAATTAATAATTGTATAATATAAATATAACTTAGTGAAATGAAAGAAGGATTTGGAGAATAAAGAGACCAACACTGAGGTATTTATGGAGCAACAGAGGGTGTTTACAAAAAAAATGAATGAATAATTAAGCCTAAAAAATCTTATTATCAAAAGAGGAGCGGAGATCTGAGAAGGATGGGCTCCATAATGTGGGGGCAGCACCATAGTGGATTTGCAATTCTATGTTGGCTCTCCAAATGACAAAGGGGCCCTTCTTTCTTGATCCTAAATTCTATGTGCCTTGAACTGGAAATTCCCAGGTCTTGACCCCCCACCCACCACACCCCCACACCAAACCTAACAAACAAAAGGGTCCATTTACAGCACAAATTATGTACCCAAAAAAGTAGAGGGAAATGAATTGGAAAGAAAATTTGGTAAAATAAAGGACAGAATAAAGGACAATAAATTTATTCTAGATTTTGTTCAAATTTATTTTATACGAAATTTATCAAAACAGGAGTGAAGCATATACAAAGTTTTTCGAATAATAAAAATTATGTTTTATTCTCAAAATATAATTTATTTAGTCCTAATAAATGACCAACAATGATTAAAACTTCTTTTTGGAGTGAATGAATCTTATTTTGAGAAGAAAAAAATGTTATAAGGAGTATTTTTCACTCTTATTTTGGGAATTTTCATATTTCATTATATATAAACTTAATATGAATATATATTTATATACATATATAAATATATATTATAAAAATTAATCATGCAGAGTATTTCATTTACCAGTGTATTTCTTTAGTTAAAACTTAAAACCAAACATAAAAAATACTCAGTATTCACTACTTTTTGTCATCATTTTTCTTTCTCCGAGCACTTTCTTTGATCGAATGAAACCCATAGTAATTAACTTCTACGCCAAACAACTGTCCTACACACTGAATATTTTACCACTCATTGAGTCATTGTAAAAGTTCCTTATAACCAAACTATGACTTTTCCAAGGCAGGTTTCCTATATGAATGGGAAAGGGTTTTTATTACCTAAATTTGGATGTTTCTAACATTTATTAATTTGTAAATATAAAAATAAATACAGCATATAGATCTACATTTAATGCATCAAATGGCACTTCCTTCCTACAGTATGCAATTTAGCTTTCATAGCTGGAAAGGATTGGCTTCTAATCTCCAATACTTTTCAGATTCCAACATTTTGTCTCTTCCTCGTCCATACACCTTTCTTTTTCATGAAGTGATTTATCCCACATTTCAGTTTCAGTGGACTTCAGTCATCAATTTGAAGATTGTGAAAGTCACAATAATACAACATGGATAAAAAAATATTACATGTAGATGATAATTTCTCATGCGAGGAGTAAAACTCTAGAGTTACCTGATACATTTACAATATGGTCGTTTGCAAAACACCATACTCTCAGGTAATACAGAGTAGGGCTTGATGTCAAGAAACTCATGCATCTGGATGTTGAATTCCAGAAAGGCTAAAAAAATTAATGATATAACTTAGTTAAATATCACACTCCAAATCAACATAAAAAATCCCATCCAGACAAACTTTGAAAGGCAACCAAACTTTAAGAACTGATATTGAGCTACCAGTGATAAATATCTTACCTCACATAACATAAAGCTTCAGATAATAGATCTGAACCTCAAAGAAGCAATATTCCAGGTTTTAAAGCAATAAGGGCCATCCAAAACAATCAATATTGACTAGCATGCCAAATACCAGGTATCTAAATATAGCAGCTAAGCAGTAACCATATTGCAATGCACACTGTACGAACAAAAGTAATGCAATGGACCACATGCTGAAAACTTTTCAATAAAATATTGAAAGAAAAAATGTAACTGTCGTCTCAAATATTTCAATGCAAAATTATTCCTCTGTATAACAGGGTGAAAATAAAGAAAAAGGCATGAATGAAAGAAAGAAAAGACAAGGAAACTTATTCTACTCAAGTGTTTTATTATCATTATTATTATTACTACTACGTATTATTATTTTATTACTACCTCCGTCCCAAAATAATTAGCCAAATCCAAAACTTTGACCAATAATATATATTTATCGGAAACTATTTATAATATAAAAATGATATGAAAATGTTCTTTGTTAAATGAAATTTCATAAAAGTATAAAATTTATAACTTTCATAATATAATACTAGTCAAAACCATGATCAAAATTTTAAGATTTGGCTAAACATTTTGGGACGGAAGTGATAATATTTTATAAGAATAAAAAATATATATGCAGTTGTAATTTTACATTTGCCAACGTTAGCTCAACAAAGTGAAGAATTCATTTACATTTCTCGATGATAAAAAAGACAAAACCATCTTTCAAACTCTGCTTCACCAGGAAATATATTTTAAAACACAAAATAAAATCAAGTAGAACTGTTAACAACTTAGGAATTGAATGACTGTTGAATATGACATACTTTCAAATCTCGTCTACAGATTTTAATTGCTGATTGTGTACCTAAATCAAGCTCAACTGCCATCTTATCTTGTCAATATGACCTTGTACCTACAATATTCAAACAAATGGAACATATCAATTGACTTGAAATTGGTTCTGTACTCAAGACTATCCAAGTAATCCAACACAATTAGCTGTATTATATTGATTCATGTAGTCAGAGTTTCAGACATTTATGAAAACAATGTCAACATTTTGTTCGTTGCAACTAATTGTGAATTATTAAATTCTTCTTACATGCTGGAAAAAAAGATATGCAAGTAGTCTACACAAGAGGAGAAAAGGATCAAAATGAAAAGTGTCTAATCCATACTAACCTACTTGCTTTTTCTCATGAGTTGTAGCAGCTCATATGCATCAGAAAAACTGGTGAACCATTGGCTTTAGAGATGATACTTGGCATAAGAATGCTTTCCCATTCATATCTTCTGCGGATGCTGCACATAAACACAGAGAATATAGTAACTCAACAAGTTGAAAATCCACCAGCATTAACTAGTAAGAATGTTTAGGGAGAACTATGGGACAGAGGAGTAGTAAGCTAAAAAGACAACTTCTTCAGAGTTCAGACTATACAAATGATAAAGTAATATCTGTCAGCATTTTAACACCTCCTGGTGTGGTTATCTTTCTCAGAAGCCCTTGTATAAAATCGAAATGTATTGTAAGGAAAATACTTCTACCGTCTCATTATGATTGTCTCATTAAGATTTTATCGTACTCCCTCCGTCCCATAGAAAGATTCACACTTTCATTTTTTGGACGTCTCGTATAAATGTTCTCATTTCCATTTTAGGAAACCATAAACAATTTTAAATGATAAATTAATCATTAAATATTAAAAATAGTATATTTATAACATCACAATTATCAACACTAACCCCATTGTATTATATACCTATGAAAATTATTTCTCAAAATATACTTGAACTACCTTATTTAATTATAGTCTAAATAACCCTGTCATTTTGTCACGGAAACCTTTCGACGGGACATATGTAGTACCAAATTTGGTAAAATATGATAAAATTTGTTTGATTTTAAATCATTCTTACTCTATCGATTCAGCTTCAACAACATAAATTCATTTTTCTAAATAATAGCACCACCACCTCATACTGGGACGGAGGTAGTAGCTCACAAGTGCAATGGCTAATACTATCGTAAGTTGCAACAAACATCACTGCGGAACTGCAGTCAGGATTTTCTTCAAACAACAGATAGACATAGGAAACATACGTAGTATACTAGTATCACAACAGCTTACCTTCTTACCTGGCGAATATACAAAGCGGAGTATCTCCCTAAATAATCGGGACGCTGATTTCGATATGCTAGCCTGAAAGTAGCAAGTTGTGCTCAAAGAATTGAATCAATAATGTGTCTGATCAAATTAATGAAATGGGAGTGCAATATTTCTTCTTTTTTGCTTTAGCATCAGGCTGGTCTCAACCATTCTCTAGTGCTGAGACTTTGTGTCCGTAGACGACAGGCAGCTCCAAAGATGCCGCTTTACCTCCAGCGAGCTCTGAATTATTATAGGCTGCGGTTTTATTGGTTTGTAATTTTGTATTGATCGCTCAAAGCCTCAAACTAAAATTAGGGCTTCTTTGGTAGGGGCATGACAAAGAAGCCTATTTTGCTAATGACAGTTCCCTGAACAGGTAAATTACGTGGTACAGCCGGTTTTTTTTGTAATTAACTTCAACTTTGAGTCTGATCTTCGTCCTTCCCACATGTTTCGTCCTTCTCATTGATCGTCATCTTCTCCCATGTACAATCGAATGTAGCTTTCTTTCGTTCATCTCTTTCGTCTCTACCGCATTCAACTGCGATTCTCTCCAGTTAAGATTTCCGTCTGGTCATCGATGGAAGTAAAATTTCCATTCAGTTTTTTCTTGTATTTTTATTATCTTATGGATTCATATTTTGTTCCAATTTTTCTGTAGTGACAAAGTTTTCTTCTTTGATGTTTCCATCTTCGGTCTTACTTTCATTCTTCTTCTACAGCTTTCGTCGTTGTCCTCATCTTTATTATTTACTTCTGTTGCTTCCTACGCAGGTTTAGGTTTTTGCAGTTGTTCATTCAGTTCAGGTTATTTTCTTCTCTATTGCAATTTTATGTTTAGGTTATTTTCTTCTCTCATTGGAACAAAATCATTTTTTTCATTCAGTTCATATTTTTTATGTTGCAACATTTTGTTTTATCCAAGATTTGATGCTATGTCTAGTTATGGAGGTAATTTGTCAAGAAACACCTTCACTATATTTGATTTATTTTGTTGAGTATTGCTTTACTTAGTAATGATGATCTGTTTTATTGTTTTGATTTGTGATCCCCTGTCTAGATGGTATTTCTTGCACTGGCAAATTAATAGAAGATATTGAGGCGAGAGGCGAACTTTTTGAAGTTGATTGCAGTATTATTTTCTCTCTTTTCAAGTCACATATTGTTGTTGTTTGGTTGTTGTTTACTTTGAGCTATTGTTATTTATTTGTGTATTTTTATTGATTCAGATTACATGGAATCTGGTG